TCTTCATCTTTTTGTCGAATAACATCATATTTTTGCCGAATCTCATAATCTTTTTGCCTAATTTCTGCGTCTTTTTGCAGAATCTCTGCATCCTTTTGCCTAATTTCATCATACTTTTGTCGAATCTCGTCGTCTTGTTTCCGAATTTCTACATCTTTTTGCCTAATCTCAACATCTTTTTGTCGAATTTCAACATCTTTACGTCGAATCTCGACATCATTTTGTTGGAAATTTTCAAAAACACCAACTGACCGGTTATTCAATTCAAACTTAAGTGCCAGTAAAATATCTTTAACTTCTTGCTCAAGATTCTGAGCAAAAAGTTCAAATGGAAGTTGAATATTTGCCGCTCTGGAATTGTACGACTCTGGTGTCTTTAAAAACGTATATAAAATATTAATATCAACGTGAAATTAAATATTATATAAGCCTCATTATATAATATAAAACCAAATACTTTTAGATTAGCAAGTTCCGGATCTACTGATGCTTGAGAATCTATAAATGAGACAACCTGATTATGAACTTCGAAGAGTAACTTTCGTAATTTTGTATTTTCTTGCAATAAATCCTTATCACGAGCATCAGCATCACCATCTCCTTGCTTAATTTTCTCAGAATTCTAATAAAAAAAAATTAAACATACAATTAAAGAAATATATACAGTAATGAGACTCGACAATAAATACACTTCCGCATAAAAACCACCAGATACCATAGGCACGCCGATATCATGACCGGTTGGTGATGTGACATAAGAAGTATTTTTCATTGCTTTTTTCCGTGGTGGATTTACGCCCTGAGGGCCGCATGTGGGATGATATTTATCGCTTAAAAGTTTCTGCATTTTTTCTTTAAATCTAGTGTATTCTATTTCGCGTTTTCTTATGTCATGCTATAAACCAAAAGAGATCAATTTAACATGAATTCAGCGCTGGGCTTAAAAATATTATTTTTTTTACCATAGCCTGCGATTTGACACTTTGCAAATTAGTTTTCGTTTTAATCAGTTCATCTTTTGTTGATCGATGTTTTTCAGATTCAGATTGTAAATGATCTTCAGTTTTTCTGGAGGAAAAAAAAAAAAAAAAAAAAAAAAAAAATTTTAAATTGAACTTTTTGAAGGAAATATTTTTAAGACATTAAAATAGAAAGAAAACAAACGCGTTACATTAAATTAGCTTTTAATGAATCTACTTCGCGTTCACTTAATTCTGCTCTCGTTTTTAAAGTTTTCTAAGAAAAGAAATTAAGATTAATTTTACTGTATACAAAAACAAAATTTCTTTTAATAATAACAAAACCTATCTATCAGTTTACCATGGTCAACATCAATAATTCATAATCACTTTGTAATTTTTGATATTGATCATGCATTTCTTCTCGGTAATCATTATCTTTTTGTTGCTGCTGTAATAACTCATTTAATTGATGATTTAAGTTTGTAACTGTATCATTTAAATTCGTTTGTCTAGTATCCGTTTCCGTTATCTCCATCATATTCTCCATCATATTCTCTAATCGTAAACAAAGATAAATTTAACAATTACAGAATTACGCGTAATACGAGCATTGGTAAATATTGATTTTATTGGTTAAAAAAAAAGATCGACATTTATATGGATCAACTGTAATTTTACAATACATTATCAAAGTAAATCTATTCGTTACAAGAAACCCATTTTTTTTATCAGTAAGACAACTAAAAAATATTT